CAGCTTGGTGAGCTCCTGTGAGCTGAAGCACAGCAGCAACGTGTGAGAGAAGGGACTCTGCTAGCTTTAGGGATCTGGGATGCAAAGTTCAGTCCCCCTTTTGAGGGTATCACAAATGGGAGCAGGATAAAAACAATCTCAGACAGGTTCCCCATGCTGCTCCTGTGGGATCATTTTTCAGAAAGTTTTACTGAAACACAGTTTCTGCCCAGCTGGGATCAGAACCACATTTCACTAACACACATTCAAAGTAATCAAGGTTTATATTTCCTTCTTGAAAGGGTAATCACTCTTTCTGCAATTAGTGAGCCTGCTGCATAAATGGAAAACCACCTGGGGGAGGGTGTTTCAAGTGCATTCACTTTGTGTTCCATTTCAGCTTACCTTAGACACGGAGCTGGGCTTGGAATGTGCTGAGAGGGGAACGTGTGTTGGGAAACAGCTGACAGCTCCAAGGGAGCAGTGAGCTGCCCTTAAATTCATACTGAGGCCATTCAACTTTCCTGGTTTTCAGGTGCCCCTGAGCTTGTGGCAGCCAAACACACAAGTACTCTGGTGCTCCTCCTTTCCAGTGGGAAGGGTGGGTAGGGGGGCCTGGGTGCACTGCATCAAGCAGAGGTGGCTGCCTGTGTACTTGGACCAGCCTCAGGATCACTGAGGGGAGAGGCACACCCAGGGCTGTTCCAGGGAAGCCTTTCTCCATCACCAGAAGCCAGGCAAGGCTGTTACCTTGCACATCTCACTTACATGGCTACAGAGAGATGAGGTCGGAATGTGGTGACAGCAAAGATTTGCTCCCTGCCCTGGAGATCTTGCAGACTGAGCTCCCTGCACAGAAGTAATTATTTGTGCATAAGGAGCAAAATGAAAGATCAAATCCAACATAACTTCACAAAAGCTCTGACATCTCAGACTAATACCCTATCTCTCTTCTAAAAATGCCTGACTTTCTAAACCCAGGAGATGGGATGGAGCCACTCCAGCTGAGCCTCAGTAGCTCACAAGGAACATATCAGCTGGGCACAAACAGGGACTGCTGCAGGAGGGAAACAAGGCACCAGCCACACACAGACACAAATCCTGTGGGATGCTGCACCAGGGCCTTGCTGCAGTGCAGCCCCGTGCTCAGCACAATGCCTTCATCCCAGGTGCTTTGGGGGTACCTTCAGCACCCAGGGGAGTGGCGGTGCTGGTGCAAGAGACACTGTGTGCCCCTGATGTGCCCAAGAAATTCCAGTGGGATCATGTGCAGTACGGCACCAGGGTGATCAGGAGAACAGAAACTGAAGTCACCAAGCTTGAATTATTTCTGCCACCCGTAAACACAAAACCTGTGTTTTAAAAAGCCTGTTCCTGTAAATCTTCCAGAGCTGAGCATTAGAAAGGGCTGTAAGAAGAAAAGTGCCCAAAAGGAGGGCTCATACAAAGGCACCCTGATTTAACTCACCCACAGTTAAAGACAAGAAATCAGACTGGTTCTTCCAGATTAGCAGTTTTCTGAAATACTCTTTCTGCTCACAGTAGAAATAACTGGGAAGATGGAGACACACACACGCAACAGCTGCTTTTCAGACACAGTTGGAAGTTTTGCTTGCCACACTCCTAAAGCATCACTGATATTTTTAAATGCCAGTCCAGCATATAAATATTTAAAATATTTCATCTAAAGTTTCATTGAGATTTTAAATATTACAGAGCTGCAAGTTTTTTCTTGTGCAGTAGCAAAAAATAAAATCCTAAAACCTTAATTCTATTCATTCCACAATAAACCTCCTGTCTCACATCACTGGTTTGGAGCTGCCAGCGAGCAAGACCCAGCTACTACTGCTTACAGGCAAACACAATCTGAAGCAGGTTCATATTCCCTGTCCCAGAGAGCAAGCAAACCCATGTGCTAAGTGGAGCATTGCTCTGCCAGGAAGTCCAGAAGCTTGTTTTCGTCACCAGAACCACGTGTCTTGTCCCCAAGCCCTCCAGCCAAGCCACCAGCCTCATGCTGCTGGGACCCCCAGGCCCATGTCAGGTGTGACATCCTCATCCTGCCACTGGGGCATGCTTGGGGTGAGCCCAGCCTTGCTCTGGAGTCTGAAGGACAGAGGGGACGGGATTTACTTCTCTGTCAATCCACCCCATAGCACAGGGTCCCCCACAGTGGGGACTCTCCCTGCAGGCCATTCTCTTTCCTGGCCCACAGCACCCACTGCATCACTGAAAATAACCAAATTCCCTCAGTTCCATTTCTGATAAGCCAGCCACAGTGGCCCAGTAGCCATCACTCAGGAGGAGGAGCAGGTGAACGACCACCTCCAGCCTTATTTTGTCCATCTTGAACCTCTGCTTGACACCACAACCATTCAGGTCTGGGCTTCCCCTCTTTCCAAGGCCACCAGTGTGACCCTGTCCTAGACAAAGCCACATTTTTGGTGCCACCCAAGGTTTGGTGCCCGAGCACGCGGTGCCGTGGGGCTGGTGAGTGCCTGACCTCCACTGAAATGCTCCCAAGTTCTCTTCTCTCTTCTTCATCCCACGCAGGAACCTGAGATGCTGCATGGCCAGAGCACAGGTGTTTCATAATGACACAAGAGTTTATCAAATTAGAGGAAACAAAAATCCCCTAAACTCTGAAAATTAACATAAGCAATGTTAATTACAAAGAGTAGTTATTCACAAATAAATCCCTGCTAAGGAAAAAAACCCTGCCAAAGGAAAAGGAGTTCAGTTTGGAGCCTTGGCTGTGCTGGGGTATCACTGGGTGTGTCACTGCATGTGGCTGAACTGCCCCAGAAACCTTCCCAAGCAACATCGAGGAAACCTGGCAGTCCCAAAATGCTACATTTTGTTTAGTGACTTTTAAATACACACAGTCATTACCTCCTCAGTCTGAACATCAGGACTGACTAGAGTTGACACAATCCATTTGTTTTAGAGCAGCACTTAGACTTTTCTTCCTTGCATTTTGTTGGAATTGCACAGGTCCCAACAAAATGATATGCAAGAATTAGCTTTTTACGAACAATACAATTCTGATTTTAAATCAGCACATGAGACAATTAATTTTGTAAGATAAGGAATCTGTTGCAAATATACAGCAGTACACCCACACATCACCATCTGCTGTGGAGAATTAAATGTACAACTCACAAATTAAATCCTGCAAAGTTGGTGCAAAAAGGTCCTTGCCTTGAATTTAAACAAGGCTGTGGAAACCTGCAAACACATTGCAAAAGATCATGAAAACAATAACAAATTTGTCCATCTGTGAGTCAGTTCTAGCAGGGTTGGGGTTTTGTTTTGTTTTTTTATATTGGTGCATTTGCAATAAATGTTGCAGCTCACAATGCAAGTTGTGTAAACTATATTTAGTTGAGCTCTCCTGGCCAGGAAAAGTCTCTCCTGGAGATGCTCCTTACAGGTCCCATAACTTTACCCCAGGTCTTCTATTCTTACAGGGAGAAAAAAACAAAACAAAACAGAAAACAAAATTCTTTTTTTTTTCATACTCAGTTTATTGAAGAAAAAAAAAATTGGCAAATCTGGCAATTGTTGTGGATGTTTTATTATTAGATTTATTAACAAACACTGTTCCACTGAAGTGAGGAAAAATAAATATCAACAATTACTGCTGCCATGAAAAAATTCTGACAAGCACAAATATCTACATCACTTTGACTCCCCTGGAGCCAAGCCTTCATTCTCTGATTTTGCATCCCATGTTCTTCTAACACACTGCTCTTAATTTTTTTTACACCTGGCAGAACCACCTGAGACTAAGTCATGTTCCCTGATCTCCTGTACTGAGGAAGTAGCTGTGAAACCTTGCTGGCCAAGAAAGGCAGTGAAGCCTCTGGACCTGGACACACCAGTACAACACAGGGGTGGGTGTGAGGAGGAGGCTGGAGAAGCCTGGAAGCCAAACTCTGCACCTCTGCCTTTTTTTGTGTTTGGCTTTGACCCCCAGGTCTGCTGGGCACTCACTGGCAGCCGTGGGCTGTAAATGAGCCTGGGACCTGCTCCTCACTCTCACCAGCTGTGCACCTCAAAAAAGTTGTCTTTTGCAGCATTAGGATGACCAAAGCTGTGCCAGTGATCTCTGAAATGCAGGTGCCCTTCTCTTTTCTTTTTTAATGGGATGCTGGGAAAACACGCTGGCATTTTCCCTGGTTACTCCTTGATTGTATCAATAAAAGAGCTATAAACACTGTCTCAAAGCACACACTTAATGCCGCCAAGCCCATCAGCATCTGGAGTTCTACCTGCACATCCCCAAACCATGGGGTAGGAAATACAAGATACAGCATTCCCCTGCCACAGACAAAAATTGCACTGGGTTGGTTCTCAGGGATTTTAGCAGGGTGGGTTTTTTTTGAAAATGAAAAGATTTCCTAAACCTTTTCTGAGATGCATGTGCTGCTTTAACACACACTTATCCTCTCACACACCTGGGAAGTGCTCTCAGTACACACACCCCGAGTATAATTTATGCTGAGGGGCCTGCTACATGTTTAACTCAGATAAAGTGTATCCGTAATTAAGAACTGCAGCATCCGAGGTACAACGTGCGGGGAAATTTGCGGAAAGGATTCTATCAACGGAACGAATGCTGCCGAGGACTATTTAAAACCACAACCTAATCAGAATACTACGCCTCTCTATATATTTATATCAATATCACCAACCCTTTGACATCCCCAGCACTGCTAACACTCTGCCTGGAAGCCGACTTATCGCAGCTGCCTTGGGCACACTCGCATGCATAAAAAATCAAGTGACTCGATTAATCAGTGGAAGTTGCTGAATCATGGGCTTGCAGCCGTGCCTGCCTAGCCCTGGCTATCGATGGGGAACTGGCAGCCTGGGACTGGGATTAATCCCTATCAGCTGGTCCACAGACCTGTGTGGCCCTTTGCCAACATTTTTATGAGAAATAGAATCTTAAACATTTCAGGCCTGAAAAATAGCCATGTCAAAGGGGTGGGAGTGTGTGTATGAGAAGAGTCTCCAACAGCAAGTGGCAATAGGGAAGTGGAGCTTAGAAGAGAGAGGAAAGCTGTGAGCAAGAATATCCTGAGTTCACCTGGAAGAACAGCCAGAGGCAGCAGCTGCAGGTTTGTCCCAGCTCAAGCAAACCCTGTCTGAAATTCAGCAGCCCCACCAAGGTAAGAGCAGGAAGAAGTGAGGGATGTGTGCTATGGGTGGGGATGAAAAGCAAAGGCAGCCAGGCTGTAGCAGCAGTGCAACCATACCAGGAAAATAGGAGCATTTCTGGGTCTCCTGGGCATGAGCTGCCCTGCCTTGGGCTTTCAGAAGTCAGAGAGGCTGGGGAAAAAAAAAAAAATCCATAACACATAAAGATCAATGTGTTCAGAAGTAAAAAAGGTAAATGTCTAGGGGATATGTTTTATTTGACACTCCTTGTGGAGGCTCCTTACAAGGCTTACCCTGCCCAGTGTCTAGCAAGCTTCACCTGCTCTCAGGATGGCTGGAGGTTTTGGGAGAAGGTTTTTTTCCTTTCTGTGCCAGCCTGTGTCTGGAAAAAAAAAAAAAAAAAAAAAAAAAAAAAAAAAAAAAAAACCTTGGAAACAATTCACTGAGCCCTACAGGGACCATGTGCAGCAGCCCTGCTGTCTGGCCATGTGCCTCAGATGGGAATGCTGCTTTTTGTCTTGGAGTTCAAACCCTCCCATCCAAAGACATTATCCTTTGATTGGATCTTCAGGTGAGACAAACAGCCACTGCCCCTCTGAAGGACCCTGTCCCAGCTGCTTTCTGCTAGGAAATCAAGAAACTTTTTGTTTAAAGAAACACATTTGCCAAATCTTTACTGCCAGGCAGCTGGTCGAGGCTTTTGCTTTGCTTTTTCAGAGGGTAAGTTAAGTGTCCTTGAATGAGTGTCTGGAATAAACGGAAAAGGAGAGCAAGCACCCTTTGTGCCAAACCTCTTATGCTTCCTCCAGTGTGACTCTGCTGCACTTGTGAATAATCATATTAACATATATTAGAGGTGTTGTGTGCCAGTAATGGAAGAGATTGTGAAACCACAGTACCTTATCTATTAAAATAGCCAGAGCAATAATATCATGTCAGCTAAATTAAAAAGCAGAAAAGACACCATTCAGGTTGATCGCTGTCTAAATCCAGTGTATCTTTGGCTACACACATATATATTTCAATATGAACTGACTCTGTGTGTATTTTCAATATTAAGAGATAAAATACTGCTCTTTGCCATGTTATAAACCAAGTTTGTGCAATGGAACAGATTTTTAAAGCTAAGTTAAAAACTCTTGAGACTAAGGGATTTATAATGGAAATGCTGACAGACTCTTAACTGGAGCACTGGGATCTCTCTTGCTATTATGACCAGATAAACCAACAAGGTAATTCAATGTAGTGTTCCAGCTCCAAGACACTAACACACTCCTTCTGGTCCCAGGTGCTGAGGGGAAGTTAAATATAAAACCTAATGAAACTGCTGTGACTGACTACAGGGCTGGCTGGTTGCCCCTGCACCACGGAAAGGTGAATTTCCCTCCTGGGAAGGTGTCTGAAAGGCAGGCAGCGACCTGCTGGTTCAAGTGCCAGCTCTGGCTGGAGCCTTCTAAACTTCACAGAAGTCAAATGGCTTTCTAAAGCCTAATGGGTGGCTAAAGTTGGAAAGCTGTGAGAATGAAACCCAGTCTCTGCACACACACCAGAGCAAGAACTGACTGGAAACACAGAGCAGGTCCAACACTTCCACACACACCACATAAGAGTGCTGGGGGCAGGATCTCTGCTCACATGGGCTGGGAGACACAGACCTGCCCTCCCTCCCTGCAAAATTGCCCCAGAAGCCTTCAGTTTAGCAACTCAAATCCAGCTCTGCTCTCAAAGCAACAGCTGCAGGGAAGCTGGGGCGTGCATGGGTGCCACCCCCAGCCCCAGAGGCAGGATACAGCAGCAGTGAGGTTGTGCTAAGCTGGCACAGCAGTTCTTCAGCTTCTGTGCAAATAGACAGCAAAGCTGCCAGCATCAGGAATGCCATTCATGCCATGCTTTGACACCCAGAAAACTTTTCTACTCCTTTTTGTGACACTTATAATATTACCAAGACTACTGGGAGGCGCACACGCTGCCTCTACCTACACATGAAATCCTGAGCAAACGTCCCGAGGTTGGAGGGCTGATAGCACTGCCTACTGTCAAGACCGTCTGACATTTCCAATTACAAGACTCTATTTTCAGCTGCTTATAACTGTCATATTTTGACCAGTAACTTGTCATTTTTCCATCCTGGGCATCTGCCGCAGGCTGAATTTTTTTGGAAAGCTTCAGCCAAAACAATATAGCTATTCCCAAGGGCAAGGCCAGGGAACAATGCACTGTTTTGTAATGGTAAAAGAGAAAAAGAACTGACATCTTCTTCTTTAAGATGCACCACGAGGCCTCACAGTTTGGATAGGGGAGTAGAAATTTAGTCGAACTGTGACCTTTGTATTAAGGATGTGCCTTTTTGTTACTGCCATGAAAATCTATGCAAGTGTGGCTAAGTGAAAGCATTTGGAACAATTCCAACCTGATTTCTTCAGCAAACACTTTTCTTTCATTGAGAATCCTAAAAGCTCTGAGGATCCTGTTCTGCTGGACTCATCTTGCCCTCCAGCTTGTGCAGAAGGGAGTAGCCTCATCCCAGAGGCAAAGAGATGGGGAGAGAAAAGGCAGAACTGGAACAAGGAGGAGGTGGAGGGGAGCAGGCAGAGTGATTTGCACCCACCAGAGTTGCTGGCTTTCCAGGGCTGGGAATGGGATCCAGGATCCTGAGTCTCACCATCAGGAGGCTGCCAGGGAGTGCTGTGAGATCCCACTGTGCCCGCTCAGAAGCGGCAGCTTTACAGCTCCGAGCTCGGCGTGGCTTTCCTGGGTTCACAGGCTGCCAGCAGGAGCTGCAGCTGGAAGTGCTCCACACTCTGGAAATCAGGTGCCAAAATGAGCAGCAAACATTTAGCAACCCCATGCAAAACACTGGGTTAAACGCCCTTCCCAGGCCTGCAGAGTTTTTGGCAGGTCCATTCAGGCAGCTGAACGGGGACAGGCTCCCATGCCCAGCTGCATTCCCACAGCCCTCCCAACCTCCACAGCAAAGCAGGCACCTGTGGGAAAAGCATCCCTGACTCACTTGTGCTCCCAAAGCCATCCTGGGCACCAGCCTCTGCTGCACCAAAACCACATGCAAGTGATGCAGGCAGCTGCTGTTCGTGGATTCCCTAAATTTTTACTCCAGGAATACAATCCTTCATTATGCCCTTTGAATATGGAAATCCAGGAGAGAGAAAATGGAGGGTGGTTTCTTTCTTGAGAGTTGTCTTTGACTGGCACATCCTTCCTTTACAGAAAGCTGATGTTTACTATTGCAATATATTTATTTTGAAACTCAGTTCATCTGCTGTAAGAAATTACTCAGACCATTAATTGTGGAAGCCAATGCTGAGAGATCACGAATGTTAAGAATTCTAATTATGTTTGGTCTGGAAAATTTAATGAATAAAAGAGACTTTTCATAAGAATCTCAAGCCATAATATTTTAATGCTATTGGCATTAATTAAAATATCTGGAATTTTTAAAGGAGCCCTCTCCTTCTCCCTTTAAATATTTTACTGCTACCATTAGAACAGAAACAGAATTTTGCTAAAGCCACAAAAAAAAAAAAGTGTTCTCTGTGGCTGATCATCTCATTTATAATCATGTCATGGCGGGAACAACCTTTCGCTGAAATTTTGTTTATGCTTCAAAAATTTTTCTCCTAATAACATCTTCCCCACCCCCTTCCCAAGCACTAGCAGGCCTGGATTTGTCTTCTGTGCAGGGCTGGGAAGATAAAAGTCCAGATGATTTGGCATCCTGCAAGGGACTGAACTCTCAGTGCCTGATTAATGATACTATCCATCTCAGAAGGTAGTGACTCCCTCCTTTAGAGCTTAGGGGCAAAAAATAGCCTAACCTTTGAATTCATACTTCATCATCTTCCTCTGGCATTTGTGGCTTTCTGCAGGACACAGGGCTCAGTGCTGCCCTGCTCCCCACACCAACCAGCACAGCAAACACCCTGGGAGAGAGGGGCACCTGCTCCTCTGCTTCTGCTTCACAGGCACCCTGGGTTTGGTGCCGTGTCCTGGGTGCCTGGCAAAAGGAAATTTCTAGGAGAGCCCTTGCACTGCAGGGTGGGCAGATCGTGACTGCCAAGGTCTGTGCTGCTTGTGCTGTGACCAGTGGCAGCGGTGCTGAATGCACAGGTTAGAGACAGCTCTGGCTCTGAGGTCTTGGGAAGTGGGCTCATTCCCTGACTTGAGAGCTCAAATGAGCTCAGAAAGATAAAAGGGGTTTTTTTGTCTCTGATCTTAAGCTCACGGGTTTTTACTTGGATTTTTCTTAGTATCTAAATACACAGTCACTTGCTAGTTAGTAATAGTGGGACCTCACCTTGTTTGATGGTGTTCTCAGTTTTTAGAGTGTCTAATTAAAGGAGGAACACAGGAGCTGCCAGCGTTCAGCCACTGAGAAAATGGAGCCAGTGGGTTTTCCAGGCACCGAACATGCCAGGAACTGCCTCAGATGGAACCAGCACTATGCCATTGCCTGGGCAAGGCAGAGGCAGGTGAATGGAACATTTGGGGCAGTGAAGAAACTGCCATGCCCTCAGACACATTTAAAAAGGCATTCTCTCTTGAAAAGGCCACAATGTAGTTGTGAAATTCGAAAAGTGAAAACAACAAAACAGCATTTTGCAGTGGATCGGGGGAAGCAGTTTCTACAAAAACAGCAAATAACAGAACGAGGAGGTTGAGCTTTATTTCTACCAAATTGGGCACAGCCTCCTCTGTCTCAGAGGTGCTTGGCACATGACAAGGCTGCTCCTGTTGGGACGCTGCACATCACCATTGCAGAGAGGCAGGTCACTGCTTCCTGGCAGCCCTTTCTCCTCCAGCACAAACATGCGGATTCAGCAGGCTGCCAAGCCTGCCTGTGCTTATTTCTGTGCTGGGCACAGCCAGGTGTCACACAGGTGAGGTTGCACACAGACATACAGGAGGCCCAGAGGGCTTTTATCTATTTTCTCTGTGTGGCTGAGAGAGCACTCAAAGGCACCTGCTGATTTTGTATGTTCGGTGCTGCGGAGAGGAAAATCGATGTGGGAACTACAGATGGCTTCAGTGGTACAGGCTATTCCAGCCTGCTTTTCCGATGCAAACAGAACTGATTTACTCTTAGTGCCTTAACGTCACTGACCAGTATATTTCTTTTCATTATTCAAAGGCAAACACTGAAGAAACATGTTGTGAACATGCCTGGTTCTTTCAGGTGGAAGGAGGTGAGAACCATTTGTGTTGACGCATTTCAGAGACTTGTTTTAGTGACTTCACATGGTTTCAGGAAGATTTTCTTCTAATATTGAGCTGCCTTTTGCAGGTGTTTTTTTCCCTACACCTTGGGATCCAGTATGATTTCCTTGTTTTTTCTGCACTCCAGAGCTATCAGCCATCCTCAAGTGTTTGTCTCATCACTTTCAAGACTGCACCCCTACCCAGGAAAACAGTGAGGGACAAACTTTCTGCTCTCTGCAGGCATTTCTCCCAATAAGCTGGAAAATAATGTTTGTTTGGCTCATATTCTTAGCTAGCTGCAGACTCCCCACTGATACCCCCTGCCCTGTCAATTGCTAACTAATCGTGCCTGCAGTAAAAGTAATCCAAACTGGGGCGTTATTCAGCAGCAGCAGAAGGATCCATTAAAACAGATTATGCTCTGTGCTCCATTTCTGTCCTCATCCTCTGGGATCACCCTGCCTAGGCTCTGCCCCAGGGCACACCCACGCTCTGCAAAGTCACCCTGGAGTGTCCCCTCAAAGGGCTGCGAGGCTCATCTCAGAGGGAAGGCCAAATCCGGGCCGGGGGGCTGTCCCTGCGGGACCTGGCTGCCAGGTGGTGTTAGCAGGCAGGCTCTCCAGGAATGCTCAGGGGCAGGAAGATGTCCAGGAGGCTGCTGCGATGTTTTTTCAGCTTTCTTATCCTTGACACACAGGCAGCAAAGCAGCTCTGTATTTGGTTTGACTGAGGCTTCAAGGGGAGCAAACCCCTGTAGTATTCAGACCCTAGGGAGGCTAAAAAAAAAAGGCACAGTAGTGATGGCCTGGAGCCAATTCAGCCTTGAAACTCAGGGGCTGCCTGGCATCAGGAGAGACCCCGGCCTGGAGGGAGCAGCAGGGTTTCTGAAGGCCTTTGGATCAAAGCCTGTGGTATTTCACAAAGTCATAAACTCACAGAATAATTTGGGTTGGAAGGGACCTTAGAAATCACCTCATGCCACCCCCTGGCCCGGGCAGGGACACCTTCCACTGTCCCAGGCTGCTCAGGGCCACATCCATCCTGGCCTTGGACACTTCATGGATGGCACAGCCACAGCTTCTCTGGGAACCTGCCCCCCTCACAGGGAGCAATTCCTTCCTAACAGTGAACCCATATCTGCTCTCTACCAGTTTAAACCATTCCCCCTTGTGAAAGGCCTCAATCCATATTTACATCCCTTCCCCTGAGAGTGGGTTGGTTACAAGGCCTTTATGTCTGTCCCCGTGGGTTTTGTCGGCCCTGTGAAGACCAGCTCAGGCTCAGCCTTGCTCCAAACATTGGCTTCCTGGAGATCCTGCTGTACAGAGTAACAAACACCCTCCTGTTACACCCATGAGCTTAATTCAGCCACATCCAGCTGGGATATAACCACTGCTAACAACACCTGAGGTGCCCTGTGGGGCCAAGAGGCCCTGGAGCTGGATGGTGAGGGACACTGCTGAAATGGAGTCACCTCAGCTGGGCACTGCACCAGCCACCGCTCCTGCTCCACAGAACACCATGCACGTGGCTGGACCTTGCTGGGCTTCCTCTCCCCACTTTGTTTAATTGTGTGACATTAAAGCTCCCCCTAAGCCAGTAGGACAGGCGTGTGCAGAATGTACCTATTTACCTTGCAGGCCTTTAAATTCAAATGGGTTATGTAAAGCAGCACAGTCTACACAATTTAAATTGGCCTGACTTCTGAAAGCTGCAGGTTCCAGGACCTGAAAGAAAGCCTGCAGCTAGGCTGAGTATCCAAGGGAGGTCCTCTTGGCATACAAAGATCAAGCACAATCTGAAATTCAAACATACCTTTACGCTTAGTTTTTATCTTATTTCAGTTTCACGCAAAATAATGTTGCCCTAGAAATGAAATTTCCCCACATGTCTGGCACAGCTCTACAATGGCCATTTAGTGGAGCAGTAAAGCAAAGCACCAGGTACTTGACAGCTCTTTTTGTGTCACTCGCACCATGCCTTCTAATTCCAGAGAGCTGCTGCCATGTACTCCAACAGGGTTTCTTTGCTTTCCTGAAGCAGTTACATGACTTGAGAGCTTGGTCATCTTTCCTGCTAATAGGAATTGAGGAACTGTACATAGGAAGAGTACACAGGTAGAAAGCCCTGCACATTAAAATCGAGCTTGCTCAGGACACCACAAATATCATCCACACAGCTCTGCAAAAGGAATTTTTATTATTTTCCCAGCTTAACGTGCTAGCATTAATATTTCATTACTAGATTTCACTATGATTTTGGTCCTGTTACTGTCTCAACCAATTTATTGCTTGAGAAGGTTATTTTTAATCTTCAGCAGTAACTGAGAATATACCCTCAGAAAACCTTTCCCAATGTGGAATTTCTTTGCTGTTTCATTATAATTGAGGTGATGCTGTATCCAACAGCTCTTTATGAGAACAAAATATATTTTAAGAGAAGAGGGAGGTTTATCAGTTTCTAGCTGAAAGCCTGTATTGCCCACTTGTCTTAATTTGTAATTATAGAATTTCAGACATTACGAAAGAGCAGAATGAGCTAAAAAGATGTGATTTGATACAGAAAGGCTGGGTTTAGTACTGAGCACTCAGGCAACTGGCTTCTGAGGTGCTACAGCACTGGGGCTCCAGCAGTTTCCCTTTGAAAAATGGTGGTATTTATTTGGGTTCTGATTCAAATAAGGTCAAGACACAGGCAGCATTAAGTCCCTCTCTAGGTTTGTGATGTCTCAGAGACAGTCCTGGCAGCCAGAGAATGAGAAAGGACCAAAGACTGCACAGAGAGTTTGGTCTTGACCTCGTCTCCCACCAGCCTCCAGGCACCAGAACAGGGTTTAGCACACAGGCTGTGCACTAACTGTAAGAGGAGAAAAAAAAAAAGGCTCAAAAAAGGTCTCTCAAAATCTGCTTCAGAGTTACAAAATGTTTCTCGGTGTCAAACACAAGCAATTAGTGTTATTTATTCATCCCCTTAAAACATCTCAGTCCCCAGTTCCAATTCCCTCCAGCCAGGTACTGACAGTGATATTGCACCTCCCCTTAATTCCAGCCTGATGGATTTAGGACAGGATGTGCCATTTTGGTCCCTTATCCCACCCTGGGGAGTCTGCTCTCTTTGCTTTGTGGACAACTTCTTGTCCTAAGTGCAGGGTTATTTTCCCAGCTGTTGTGGGGATGGAACAGGGATGAAGACAGTTCTCTACCAACCACTGGCATAAAGAATAACTGACCCTTCACCAGCTAGGAAATTCAGACTATTCCCAAAGGTACACAGAGAGGCACAGGGATGCTAGCCTAGCATCAAGCAGATGATTTTCCTTTTTATCCCCTTGGACATCATAAACTCAAAATGTTGTCACATCTCTTGAGGGGATCTTCCTTCCTCTGCTGCCCAAACCCTCCCCTAAATTCTACCTGGGGTAATACCACCCTCCATGTGTACCAAACCAGCCATGCAGGGGCTCCCCTGGGCTGCCTTGTACCTCTCCAGAGTGCATCCCCAGCAGTTCAGTCCAAAGGAAAACATGGATCTGTGCCTGTCTGTGCAGCCTGGGGCAGCACTAACCTTCATGGGCACCTGAAAGGGTCACTGAGGTACAATCCCCACATCCAGTGCAGTCTGTTCAGTGATAATAGCTCTCCAGCAGACCTCAGGTACCTGCCTTTCGAGGGGTTTTACTGCTCAAGTGCTTATTCTAAAACCTCTTCTGGGGTAATCATAGCATAATCATCTAATTTGGGTAGAATAAAACCAATTCAGAGCAGAACCAAAGGACACAAATTTTTCACTCTGAGTTTCTATGGTTCTCAAAGCCTGCTGGCGAGTGGCCCAAACAGAAGAGATTGAATGAGTTCATCAGTACTTGGACAAGTAGGTTCTGGGGAGAAACCAGGAGGTTTCATACCAGGAGTTCATACTTATCCCTTTAACAGACTCCAGGAATGAAGCTAATCCAAATCAAATGGTCTGTCTTTGACACAGCATCAAGCAACTCATAAAAGCCTTCCTGGATTCTAAATATTGGGTACATTCTTCACAGGGAAGATGAGCAGCAGACCACGTTTTCCATTGAAAACATTTTCTCCTGTAATTTTTTCCTGATCTAAGAACTGTAACAAGTGCATGGAAATTACAAGCTGCTATAAAAATTACAGAGACTAAAACTACAATTTTATCCTCCTGCATTAGAACAATTTTAACATTGTTAGAGGAATATATCTCTGCAATTTTAAAATTATTTGAGTCATGACAGAAAGACTCACAACTGCAATATTTATCTTTCAGATTCATCCTAGGATGTTCCTGAAGACTTGTGAGATGTCACATTATATAGCATTTTGTGGGGACTGGAGAATGTCACTTTGACAAGCAACACATGTAAATTGGAGCCATTGATTATGGGGAATTTAATTTTATCTATTGTGTATTCATGGTACAATAAATAAAAATACTTCAGTGGTCACTGTAGGACTGCAACAACTTCTACAGAAATGCAATTTATAGTTGCATATTTTTAACAGCGAGCTTCGGCATACATTTGATTAAATTCTGCTTTCCAGGGCACTTAATGAGAATTCTAATTCTCTAGAGATTTCTATAGGCATGCCAGGTAAAGAGGAGTCTATCAAGTCAGAGCTGTGGTTGTTAGCACAAGGAGCTGGTTCCTTTGAAGAGAAATAAAATTCATAAGCATGCATGCATATATTTTAATATTGCCAAGATACATATTGGCAGAGCAATAAATAGTAAGAAGATTTATTACCCACTCTATTTCCCAATGTATACAAATGCAAGTGATACTTGTGAGGTATAACATCTTTTGGGCATGTGTTTGAACTGAGTGGCTGGAGCAAAGCTTATTTATTTTGGGTTCTCAGAAAATTTGAGGTTGAGTCAGTCTCTGAATTTCTTCAAGTTATCCCATTGATTTCCCTGCCTGCCTGACAAGGAAGTTGAAGGACTTCCTCTAAGGATGCAATGTCAAGCCCTGACTGAGGGCCATCCACTTCTCTAAATAAACAGGGTCAAAAAATAAAAAAACCCTTTTTTTTACCTGCTCCTATTTGATATCTCTCTGCTCCAACTCTCAGATCAAGACCATTTTTATAAGGACTACCTCACTACCACAATCATCTTCTTACAGCAACTTGGAAAACACATTTACCCTTCCTGGTAGGAATATTGGGGGGCCAACAGGGCAGCTCCTTCCTATGTCAGTCTGTAGACACAACCTCACCTCAGGTAAATTCTACAGGAGATGGTTTAGTTTGGGCAAGTGTTTTTCCCTTGGCTGCACAGCTGGGAGAAAGACAAGCCCTGCTGAACCCAGGGGTAAGTTTGCCTTGCTCGAGCCTGGGTGCTGGAGAGGATGAGTGAAACCCTGCACACATTCACCTCAGTGGCAAAACCCCCTTCAGGAATGGGACCAGGACTTCTGCCATGCAGGGATAGGTGCATCTGCCAGGTCTGTACAAATTATAATGGCTGTTTGTCTCCAGACTTGTTCTGGATTCGCTGCAGAGTTTATTGATTACTGGGTGTTTAAGTCATTTTTTGGTGTGAAAGTATGAACAAGATTATCTAGCCTTATACCACTTTTAATATGCATCTTTCAAATTAGCTGAGGAGTTCAGTAAATTTGCACCCACCTTCCTGATGGGGACCTAGTGAGAGTTGCTATTCAGGATAGCAGAAGGGGGACACTGGCAAGACAGGGAGAGAGCAGAGATTGTGAAGCTGTGCCCCACACTGCAGTCATCAGGTCACAGTGTTATTCTTCAGGTGACTTTTCTTGCTGTCACACTATTAGTCCTGGAATTAAACTAAAGTCAGTCTCCCCTAAAGAATAGAAAAGAGTATAATAATCCTTATTTTTTGTCCTCTCAGTTGTTACACTCTGAACCAGTGGGTTAATGTAATACTAACCAATGCTCAATTTCTAATTCTTACAGTGGAATTAAAAATAAAAAAAACACATTGGGAGGAAAAAAAAAAAAACCCAACAAACAACCAAACCCAAACCACAAGAAAAGAACAAATTAAATACAGCTTGTGCTTATGCTGATTTTCAGAAATAGGTTAATAAACATTGCTTAGATGAAAGGAGCTTCAAGCGTTAAAGAAAGAAATCAGAAGGTCTCACTTAAGTGATTTTTTGGCAGGAATCAAATTAACGAATATAATATGGATTGCTGACAAGGTGCTTGATCATTCTCAGCAGCGAGGAATTTTTCTATGTATATATCATTTTATTTATATAGATATATATGCATGAGTTTGTGTTTGAGTTGATTCCATTAACACTTCATTTGATAATGATAAATAGCATTTTTATTGAAAAGGAAAATATCATGAAGCCCTGATTTGCAAGAGCAAGTTAGAATGTATGACATTATTATGTCCTACTGCTTTTTCTTCTTCTTTAAAAAACACAAGCCTTCAATGCTAGCACAAAAGAATGCAAACATTCTATTTAGTGCATAGACAATTTCCCTCTAATTCAATCTGCAAATAACAAAAAGTACTCCTTTTGCAAGAGGGTGGAGGATAAACCAGAAAGGGAGACATAAAAGAGACTTAATTAGATCATGGAAACCTTTCTTAAGCAGTTCAGCATCTTAATTTCTGGTAAATTCAAGCAACATCCATCTGGGGGTTGATTCTGTCAGTGTGGATCTGTGTCTGTCTGCCTTTATCCATCTCTCTAGGCATCCATGGCTGTGGCTCCGGAGCAGCAGCGAGCATCCCGAGCTGTGCAGGCAGCGAGCTGCAGGATCCAGCCCCTCTTTGACAATGATTGCGGCTGACACTGACAAGCACTTACACCCCATTCCCGGGCTCTTTTTGTTTGGCCTCACATACACGTGTTGTCTGGCAAAAGTTAAAAATAAAACATTTAGGGCTAGGCTGTGGTCAGTTTTCCTGCGCCTCCGCAGTGCGAGGGGGAGGAAGGGGAGGGGAGGCTCCGCGTTCTGCACCACTCGCATCAAGGTCAGGCAGAACTGCTGCGAGAGCAGAGCCGGAGCCACCCAGAGCACGTGGTGTGCTGGAAAAGAGCTTTTCCTCCGAGAAAATCACCTAAAAATTTCCTCCTAATCACCTGCGGGTCCGAAGGGGCTCAGAGATGCTCAGGCGTTGCCCCCACTGATTCAGGCAGCAGATTTAGCTGGCCACACCCCGATGCAAGCAGCTCCTGAGCCTCAGGGCTCTTTGAAAATTTTCCATCAAAACTTTCAGGGGAAGTATCTGATTTCCTTGAAAATGTCAGCATGTTTTTATTTCATTCTGCTAGACAAATTAAATATGGACAATGGAAAAGATATTAGCAGAAACCCAGGAACCTTAATGGCAGGGGAAGGGGACAGTATGCATTTTGTCAATGAGAAGCTGATATTTTCAGCTGAACATTTTGGATTAAAATAGTGATGGCCTGACTAGGCAAAATAATAGCTGGACAAACCCCCCTCTTCTTTATGAGGAGCTCTGTTTCAGATATTTATGTAGTAAAGTTGACTGCTTCCCACCCTCCCAACTCCCACATTTCTCACAGCCAAAGAGGTAGATGCAGACAAGACATTTTCCTTTCCCCAATTTCATAAGGCTGTAGAATCTCCTTGCTACCCTATGTGCCAAAGCTGCAGAACTGCTGTAACCCTGCTCTGTATCAGGGGCGCTGGGGGCTCACCTGAGGGGACTCAGGGGTAAAAGCTGAGTTGGAATTCTGTGAATATGGGACCAGAATGAATGAGAACAGGAGGATGGGACAGAGCCCAGTGGTCACATAGCCCAGTGTGCTGCTGCAGCAGACAGACATCTGCTGCATCCCCCAGACACACACCCACCTCCCTCACTGAAACACTGACAGGGGTTCTCCCTACTGCTGCTGTGGAAGCCTGTTCCAGAAACTCCCATCTTTCTTTAGAAACCTTGTGCTAAAATATAGGGTCATTCACTGATGACCAGCTTACAGTTATTTATGTATAAATATTGTCTAATCTTAAAACAATCCCCTTCATTCCTATCATGTTTATGTATCATTCTCTGCAGGCTTTAATCTGCTAAGGCACAATCCCTCTTCTCCCACTGAACTATTTACCATTCTCTGCTCCTGCTCTAGGCTGAATTTCTTTCTTCAGACACAGGTAGTTACAACTGGTCACTACATTCCTGAAAAAGTCTTACTATGGCCTTCTAAAGGGTATTCATTTGTCCAACCAACAAGCCTTATCTTATATTAGAAATTGTCTTTGGTTCCCAGCTACCTGACCTTTTCCCAGCTTGACTGGAAATGCTTCTTTTGATATAGTGCCAAATATATGCCCCATTCTTCTGTATCTGTCCAACCAACAAGCCTTACCTTATATTAGAAATTGTCTTTGGTTCCCAGCTACCTGACCTTGCCAGTTGAACGGTTCAGTGTAATCCCATTTATAACTTCCTGGCCCCTGAGGATATTCTCTTTTTCTGTATGCTGTCTGCCTCCTTGCCATGGACAAACCCTCCCACCTCCAGCCATCAGCACATTCCTCCAGTAGGTTCTTTTCGTGCCTAGTTGATTAATGAAAATATTAAGTGATATTGGTCCCCAGATTGTGCCGTCAGAAACTCCACTTTTAGCTTTCTCCAGCCTGGAATTTCCTCTTTCAGCATCATCTGTTATTATCTCCTTTAGCCAGTTTCTATTTATTTTACAATCCTGGGCCTAATCTTCATCATTCCCAATCAAACAATTCTCCATGTAGCTCTGTGTCAGATGTTTCTCTCACAGTGTATACACATCACATCTACTGCCATTTTCTTTGTCTAAAAAGATCAGGATAATCTAAAGATTATCAAGTTAATCTCTTAAATCTGCTTTCAGTAAACCTATTCTGTGTGTTATCCTACTTCTGCCATTTGCTATGCTCTCTATTCCTCTGCTTTCCAAAAGCACTCTAATGCCTTGTGCACTACTGATGTCATGTTAATACAACCACATTTAACTAGAACACAGTTTTTTTCCTATTTGGAGTACAGGAATCATATTTGAAATTTCCCTTGCCACTCTTACTTTAACACAGTTCTAAATACCCTTTAAGCAGAAGTGCAGTTTTGAATGCCAGTTCCTTCAGACAGCTGGGACACAGATGCTTGGAAACCACTCCTTGAATTTTACTTCTATCTCAAAGGCATCATTTTCACCCTTCCAAACTCACTCCCATAAAGCCAGTTTTCTCCCATCCAAGCTCAGAGCCTTTGTCCAAATTGAACACAGACCCACAAAACCATCTCAGTTTTAGAAAGCAACTATGCCAACCTTAAACCCATCCTCCCTCAAGCAAACCTCACTGTTACTTTCCTTACTGTCATCTAATTTTGATGGCTGAAAA